CCCCCCCCGGCCCCGCCTGGGGGCCGCCATAGCGGCGGGTCCGTCCCGCCCCGGAACGGCCCGTGCTGTAAAAATGAGCGGGAAAAGGGTGTTTCGCGCCGTTACTGTTATTATTTTTTAATAGATGAATGGACGTAAACGAAAAGGTAACACTCCAAATATATTGGCAGTATGTTGATACCAGCCTTCATTTTGGAGACTGTTAGTTGAAAAATGCCCCTAAAAAACAATAAGTGAGGAAATAATCCAATGTTTTAGAAGGTCTAAGCAGCAGGCAAGCATTTTCCATTAACAAAATGAATAAACACATACTTAAAAAATAAATTAGAAACCCTCCAAAACCTAATTAAAATAAGCCGCATCACAGCATTGGAAAGTCGTTGGGCCAGAGCAGAAGCACCAATTCTCTCTCTCTCTCTCTCTCTCTCTATATATATATATATATATATTTAATACATTAGGGCTTTAAAGGACCTCATATGTAGTCTCAAGTTCATGATCCCCGAAGCACCAGTATTCAGCTCATAAGAGGGAAATGAGTAAGGTAAAAGGAAATCTGATAAAAAAACCTTATCCATTTCATATGGTCTTTGCTAAGCGAGAAAAGTTTTCCTCCTATCTGACCTGCACATAAATAAAATAGTTAATCAAAAATTCGAGGAACTTTCCTCCTAACCTGATGGTTGAGTGTCACTAAGAGGTTGCTCCATGCCAGCGTGTCTCAGTTTTTTCACAAAATCCTGCTCTCTGGCACGAGTGAGGTTGCCCTGCCCGGACCACCCCTGTTATACGAGCAGTGTCTCCTTTCTGCGTTATTAAAGCTTTTGGGCAACTTATCCAGCTAGAAGAATGAGACCATTTTTAACTTCAAAACAAAACTGCTACTCTTCCTGTATTAAAAAATACAAGGCCACTGTGTCCAGTCTTGTGTCCCCGTTGGACTATACAGAGCCCCTAAAAGGCTTCCTCCTGCTTCCCTGCAGCCTGCTCCATTTCCCAGCTCTGAGCCAGCCTTATCTCCCAGGGCAAATAGGACCCAGAGTCACCTCCACTTGTGCATTTGCTGTTGATTCCATACGTGTTTTTTTGGCAAATTATTAGATGCCCGTCTGTGCACATCCTTAAGCAGGGAGGGCGATGGCACTTGCAGGCCCACGAAGGACCAACCACGGGTGGGATCCTGTGGGATCTCTCCTGTGGGATCTTCCCTGAAACATGGGGCTCTGTTGCGTCCCATGGAGCTGCCTTGAAGGAAAAGATACATCAGGCCATCGGGCCCTCCCCTGAGAGCAGAAGGGGGAAAAAGAGGGAAAAAGGAGAAGAGGGCTGTTGTTGGGTCCCTTCTGCAGCTGATAAATCCGATGGTTGGATAGTTCCCTTCCTGGATCCCACTAGATGGCAGTGACCGCTGCTCCTCAGCAGAGCATCCCCACCTGAGCCGTCCTGCACTGGGGTGGGTTTCGTGTGGGGACGCCAAGAGGAGGGACAGGGCAATTCCTTGCACAGGGGACCCCACGGAGCAGCGGGGCTTCCTGCGCCTCCCGGTTTAGCACCGGGCGAGGGAAAAATCACAGACTGGGGCAAATTGTGTGTTTGCTGCGAAGAGACCCGGGAGCCCCGTGGAGGGAGGGAGGGAACGTGGCCGAAGCAGAAGGGAGGCAGAGGCTCCTTGCAGCAGGATCTGAGGGCGCAGGAGAGGGCAAGGCTGCTGCTGGAGGGGTTGGAGCCCTCCTGGGCACATGGTGCCAACCCCTTCGGACAGGTCTGCCAAAAGCAATAGCGAACACAGGCTATGGTGCTAACAGACATGGAAAATAGTGTTCGAGAGGTCCCTCGCAGCCCTTCCGGTCTGATTCACTGGAAAGGACAGGAATTTCTCAACTTTTCTCTTATTTCAGGCTCTGTGGTCTGATGAGGAAGCCACTTCCCTAATTTTTCCCATGCGCAGGATGTCCGTGCAGACCCCACTCCATTCCTCGGTGCATTCATCCAGGGCTGTAAATGACTGCAGGTTTACATCATTGCTCCTCCGAAACAATAACCAGGAATCATCCCTCCTGGCTGTGCCAGCAGCACATTTTCCAAAAGCCGCTTTCTTTGGCAGTGCTGAGCCCATACCCTATTCACTGCTATAACAGCCCAGAAAACAGCAGAGGCACCTGCCTGCAAAACACCCCCTTTGATTCACTTTGATGTGAATAATTTAGATTTCAGCCTAGCAAGCCCTGAACCAGTTGCTGTGCTTCAGTGAACAGCCAGGGACTTATTCATCTCTACATGTGCACATATATGCAAAGTCTTTTTTGTTTGTTTGCTTTTTTCTTTTAAAAATAAGTCAACAAATGAAACAGCACAGCTGAGCAACCTCCCTTAAGTGCATTTTGGGATATAAGTTAAAAAGGGCAGATTGTTGCTATCAGAACAAAGTTGCCTCTTCGTTGTGTGCAGCATGGGAATTATTTCCTAGTCACTAGATAGGACTCCAGCCACTTGGCACTTTCTTACATGACATTTTCAAATCCAAAAGAGCAACTTGGGATTTTGAGATAGTTCAGGCAATCAGATGAGCTCATGTCCATGGCATCCATTCACCAAAACGCCACGCGGATCTCACTCAGCCTCGCCCCTTGTAAATCCGTGTGACACTTTTATCTATTTATAAACTTTTAACAGCAGGTTATGATTGTTATGCAAGCCATTTTCCAGGGATTAATGAGCAGCTTGTGTTGATGGCAGAGAGAAGGGCCATTAACTGCTCTGGGACAGTCATTAATCTGTAGTAAATGCGCAGCATCTGGACCACTTCTACATAATTAAATAATCAATACTGCCTTTAGATTCAAATAACTGGAGAACTGTATTTCAAATTTATCTTGGCTAAGGGTGTGCTTAATCCTTTTAGTTTACAACAGAGCAGGAAACAATCACACGGGCAAGTGGAAACTGCTCTTGGTGTGGCTGGTTCTTAAAATATCATCCATCTTGCACAAAATGTCACAGGTAATTAAGACTACATGCAGAAAAAAAATCACAATTTTGTTATCTTTTTTTTTCCTGCTAATATAGAGATCTTTCTTTAAGTGAATAAAACAAAAAGACTGAGTGATCTCCTGCTGAAAAATAGCCTGGCAGAACTAAAAGAGTAAATGAGAAACTCCCAGCCACCTACAGAAAAGTCCCTTTGATTCATTCATCGTTCTGCTAATACGACCTTCGTACCTGCAAGCAGTGATGGATTTGGTCATAGGGCTAATTCCCATTCTTTGGAGCTATCTTTTCACCAGATAACAATTCTGCCCTTTACCGCAAGCACACGATGCACAAATAACAGCTCACCTTCCCTGTTAGTTGGGCTAAACGCAGAAACAAGCAACATTCACACAGTCACATATATTATACATATATATACGTGTCCAGGCCAGCAATGCAGGGGGAGGGAAGAGTTTTCAAGAAATAAAGGTCCATATTACTGAGCTAATAGCCAAACTTTGAGACGAAACCATCCTTAGGACACTTGTGAAGCTCGGTATGAAGACATAAAGAAAAGCAGACATTGGTTGTCATAAGTTCAGCTGAGCTAAGGAAGAGCTGAGCTTGTGAGCGTGGACATTGCTGCCCTTGGAAAGAGACCACGGAGGAAACCGCACACCAAACCCTGAGGAGGAATATCGAGGTGGGAAATGAGAGGGCTGCAGACCATAAAAGCAGCTGAAAGGGTTAGATGGGGAAGACAGACAATGGTGATTTTTGAAAGAAGGATAAGGCCCAGGAAGAAATGATAGAAAAAAAGGTGATAGCCCTGTCTGGAGAAAGACTTGAAACTATTGAAACTACTGTCACTGAGAAAGGGATGAGAGACGAACTGCAAAAAGAATTTAATATTGCGAAATCAAAGCAGTGGGTTTAGATCAAAGGGTCTGTAGAACAGTATGAATACATGTCCTATCACGTTTTCATAGAGGGATGGGTAGAGTGGGGCTTTTGTCTTGACTTGTGCCTCCAGGCTTGTCAGAAAACAAACCACCAAACCGCACCAGGGCCACGGGTATCCTCTAGAAAACAAAACCGGAGGGCGAAGTTCAGTGTGGATCAGGGACAAATGTACTGGAAATTACAGAGGAGGAAGGCAGGGGACTGGGAAAGTGAGGAAGGAGATGGAAAAAAATGTCTAAGTCGGAACATTGACCTTAAACCACGGAAGGAAACAGAATGAAATGGAGATTAGAAAGCAATCTCTCCTGTCTGCCCTGGAAACCTGCCTGCCTAATGCAGAGAGCAACCACATGTGGCCCGGCAGAGCTGTCAGCAAGGTCTCCTCTCCTCTCTGCAGCCCATTTAGGTAAAGCAATATCTTCGTTTTGCCGTGGATTTTGTGGAGCCGGGCTCAGCAGCTCCTCGCTCCCAGCAGGCTTCCTCCCTCCCTGCGACGCCAGCCCAATGCCAAGGCGCTGAGGGAACCGGAGCGGGGAGCGAGGCGCTGCCCTGTCCTCTACAAGAGTGCCGAGCGCTGATCCATCACCGCGCCGAGCAGATCCCTTCTCCAGTGCGCACGGTGCCTCATGGGCTTTGGAGGGGCTG